GCAGAAAGATGAGATCTTACACTGTCCTGTTCTGGCCTGCCTTGGGTATGGATTGTCTTTTAACCAGAACATCCATGCTGTGTATGCTACCAACCCATCATCAGTGACTTAGTAGCCACCTGAATTTAGATAAACTATCTATCCTGCTACCTCAATGCTTGTGTTCAACTAGCCTGTGCAGTAGCTCAATGCTACATCACAATGGTTACATTATTCATACCACTTCACCTAATCTTATAGGTGTTATATCATCTTTTTTTATTGTTTTTAAGATAGGGTTTCACGTGGTCCAGGATTCACTTGTGCAGTGAGTTCTACACACAGACCATCCCAGGAGCCACTTTGATCCCCACGGAGAAAGCATAGTTTGTTGAAAAGAGACCAGGGAGCTCTGTAGTGAGATATGAATCTGGGTGAGAAACAGATAACCAAGAAATGTTTACAAGACACCCAAAGAGCCAATCAGAGAGCAGAGGGAATGCTCCTTCACTTCTCCACTTCCCTTTTCTATCCCATCCAGCCCTCACCTTCTTAGCCCTCCCCCTCCCTCCCCCATTCCCCCCTCCCGTCTATGGATAGTGCCACTTACATCCAGGGCAGGAAACACTGAAAATAGAACTGTCTCTAGGTGACATTGTCAATGTTCATCTGAGCTCTGCTGAGAGAGAGAAAGCCCTGGTCCAAGGTCATGTCCTATTCCCATCCTGTGACTGATCCGTTTGTATTGTGTGCAGAAGCATACTCCTATTTGGGTCTCTTTTGTGCTGGTGCTCTGAATGCAGTTCTCTAAAACCCACTGTTTTCTTGTAGGTAGGAAGTATTTTAATCAGAAACTGGAATGCTGAGAAGCTCTGGTTTATGGTGAGAATTAATCTACCAGCACTCTTTTGTTTACATGAATTTCTGACTCGTGGCATCTGCAAAAGCTCTTTTATAAGCTTGTGCGTCTGCAGAGTGCAGAAGTCCTGGCATTTTCGTGGTATCTAACAACCCATGAATCTGAGCAAACACACTGCCATGTATACAAGCAATCACCTAATTCTTGGGTATTAGTTTGAGGCCTCAGTATCTTATACCAGAATAACATTGCATGCTGAATTTATTAATGATATTGACGAGGCTGGGTCTGAGCTGACACAACATTCTTTTTCAGGCTCAGCATCTCTTGCTGTCAGTCTCGTGATCTGCCTAGCTGACCTTCTGATCTTAGGTGAACAGATTTTTCATCTACAAAAAGGGACACCCAAGGGTTTGTATGCTTGTAAGGAATCTTATTTAGGCTGATTAATCATAATAAATATGTAAATGAAACCCAAAACAAGATACTATTTCATATCTTCTGAAATCTATAAAATCTGAAAGTTCAGCTGGGCATGGTGGCACATGTCTGTAATCACAGCATTTTAGGAAAGTGAGGCAGAATTGCTACTTTGATGCCAGCTGAGGTTTCAGACCAACTTTTGACTGCATAGAAAGACCCTGTTTAAAAAAAAACCAAAAGTTTAATAATACCAAGTGTTGGTGAACTCTAGAGAAAATAGGAACCTCATGTAATTATGGTGGGAGTTCAAATTGGCATAACTTGGAAAGTCTGTTTGGCAGTATCTATTATGGTTAACCAATGCCTTTATTCAACATCACAACAATTAATTTCCTAAGTATTTGTCTTAGTTTGGTTGCTACTACTGTGAAAGACCTTGGCCAAAAGCAACTTGGGAAGGAAGTTTTATTTGGCTGATGCATTCCTATCACAGTTCGTCATGGATGGAAGTCAGGGTAGGAATTCCGTGCAGACTGAAACTGTAAAGGAACACTCTTTACAGGCTTGCTCCCCATGGTTTGCTCAGTTACTTTTCTTACACAAACCAGGACCACCTGCCCAGTGGTGGCACTGCCCTCCCACAGAAAACATTAGATCAAGACACAGACCTGCCCACAGACCTATCTGGTTGAGACAACTTCTCAGTTGAGGTTTTCTCTTCCTGAATGACTTTAGTTTGTGTCAGTTTGACAAAAAGAAAACAAAATATCAGAGTATTATGCATAAGTATGCTCACCAAAACACATATATGGGAGTTTTCATTATTCAGGATAGCTTAAGTGGGAAATAATCCTAATGTGTGCCAACATGAGAATACATTGTATTATATTCATTTACAAAAGAATACTATAAAGCTTGAAAATGAAGAAAGTGTTAACCATTCATAGCAATCTGGGAGCATCTCATTGACATTGTGCTGAATGAGGGCAGAGTGCTTGCTAGCACGTGTAAGACTCTACATTTGATCGCTAGCACCACAATTTTAAAAAATGTTGAATAAAAGCCAGACACAAAAGTCTGTGTCTTATTCCAGTTAGAACATATTTAAAAATAAACAAAATAAATTACAGTGTTAAAAGTCATGGATAATGTTTGCCTCTGGTGAAGGAGTGAATAATGATGGGCAGCATGAGAAGAGCTTCTCTGGTATTAAGGTTCTCACTATCTATCAGGGCAGTGATTATATGAATGTGTTCACTTTGTGAAAACTACTAATATTGTATAATTATAGTCTGTGCACTTTCCTTGGCTGGGCCTCAACGGCTATATGAAGTATGGAAGCACCCAACTTCAGCTGTCCTTTATCTGGGGCAAATCAGGAGACTTAGCTTTGTAGCATGTGTCTATCATGTTCTCATGGTGATAGCTGGGATGCAAATGGGCACCTCTCAATGTGCAAGTCTATTTCAAACTCTGCTTCTGTCTTATCTGTCAACAAAGCATTGGCCAAAGCAAGTCACGTGACAGAAGCAGGGATGAAGGTGTGGGGCATAATACTTCATTCATGGTGGTAGGGCCATACTAGGAATATAAGGAGAGTGATAATTCCACCACAATGTAGAAGGAAAAGGAAATACTAAGACAATACAATAAAGTCACCTAATAATTAGCAAAGAGCACTTGAGAGGGCAGGTTCCATATTTTGTAGTTCTCAGGATGGAATCCATAATTTTATCTCATATTAAAATTATTCATTCATAGCCGGGCGGTGGTGGCGCACGCCTTTAATCCCAGCACTTGGGAGGCAGAGGCAGGTGGATCTCTGTGAGTTCGAGGCTGGGCTGGACCGACAGCCTCCAAAACAATACAGAGAAACCCTGTCTTGTAAAAACCAAAAAAAAATTATTCGTTCATAAGATTTTGTGTGGATATGTCATTTTCAGGGCCATGAACATCTAGTATATACTTGATTTCTACATTTCTCCTTTTCTTTCTTTCTTTTTTTTTATAGTTCTTAATATAATGCATCTGAACTTTTTTGGTAATAAAATTCTAGCCAAAAGGCAGTTATTGCATCTTTGCCCATTTTATTTCCAGCTCCAGAAGAATGAGACCCACATTCACAGAAAGACATATCTCTGTATTTTATAAACATTTCTGAAATCTCATTGTTTAGTTTTAGGCTAGACCCCAACCAAAGGAGGAACCAGTGGAGTTCTAGCACAACAGCTGATAAGTGGCATCACTCAAACTTTCAAGTGTTTCTTTATGTCTTTTGTGTATTTCTTTTAAAAACATGGTAAGATATGCAAAACATAAATAACATAAAACTGATCATTTAAAGTGTGTGTGTGTAAGAGTGGGGGAGGCCAGGGATGTGGTTTAGTGGTAGAGCACTTACCTGACATATATAAAGAAAAGATAGGTAAATGTAAAATGTTAACAGCTGGGACTTTGGATAAAGGGTAGGAAAAGTTATTTTGTATAATATTTTTATCTTTCTTTTTGGTTTTTTGAGACAGGGTTTCTCTGTATTGTTTTGTAGGCTCGCTCTCTAGACTAGGCTGGTCTTGAACTCACAGAGATTCACTGCCTCTGCCTCCCAAGTGCTGGGATTAAAGGCATGCGCCAACAATGCCCAGCTATTTTTGTTTCAAGACAGGGTTTCTCTGTGTAATTTTCTCTGTGTAGCTCTGGCCTTGAACTCACAGAGATCCGCCTGCCTCTAAAGGCGTGCACCACCACCGCCTGGCATTATTTTGTATAATTTTTGAAATATTTTATTGTACGTGTATAAGTGTTTGCTTGCCATGCATGTATACCATGTGGGACTTGTCCCTGCAGCGGTCAGAAAAGGGAGTCAGATCCTCTGGAACTGGAGTTTGGATGATTATAAGCCACCATATGGTGCTGAGAACTGAACTATAGTTCTCTGCAAGAATAGCAAGTGTTCTTAACCACTGAGCTATCTTTGAAGCCCCCATTTTGCATAATTTTTGTAACTTTACTACCAACTTGAAATAACTTGGAAAGAGTGAAAACATCAGTTTTTTGAAAGACAATTTCAGCATGTGTGAAAATAGTCAAGTTAAGTGAAATATGTAGATTACTAAACAAATGTGCAGTATAAATTTTGCTGACTGCATATATTTGGATATATTGCTCATGCACAGTTAGTTCAAAAATATAGTTCATATATATATTTTAGGAGCATAAAAAAGTAACAATTGTCATCTGTTGGTAAGAAATAGCCATGTCCAATTTAGAACAAAAGAAAGTTGAAGAATTTGTGTTTCCAGATACCAAGACCTACTTTAAAGGTACAGGGATTGGGGGATGGAGAGATGGCTCAGTGGTTAAGAGCATTGGCTCTTCCTGGGCCTTAGATTCAACTCTCTGAACCTACATAGCAGCTAATTGAAGTTCCAGAGGATCAGTGCTTTCTTCTGGCCTCCTCCAGCACTATACATGCATGTGGCATGCAGACATATATACATAAATCCATACAGATTTATTTTTATCCACAGAGATAAAATTTAAAAAGTAAATCTTAAAAAAAGATACAGAAATTCTGGCTGGAGAGACCTGACACCCTCTTCTGTACTCCAAGGGCACCACCAGTCATGCATGTGTGCACAGATATGCTTGCAGACAAAACACCAATACACATAACAGATTTTTAAAACTATACATGCTATATAAAATACATTTATTAAAAGTTATGTGGCTGTAATTACAGGAGAATAAGGAAACCCCCAGATGCCAAAGACAAAAGAGGAACTGAAAATATCAGCAAAGTTGAGAGTTGGTGAGTATCTCCCTATAAAGATCTGTGGTTCTGGGCATCTTGCTTGGGAGTTTTTGGTTTGGGGACCCAAGGTCTCTCAGAGGTTGAAACTGATCATCTCAGTATGAAGTGGAAACTCTTAAAATATTTGCTAAGTGAATGCCAGATTACTAAAAAAATAATTACCCACTACAAGAAAACAAGGGACATTCTCTCTGCTTGGCTTTGAGGATAGGGGTCTAGAAAGGGCCCCTGTGTGAGAAGATCTGTCTTTCTTTACCATGTGAAACCTCAAGCTTGTGCTTTGCATAAGATTGAGGTCAAACTTTCTAAGACCATCCAGTTATATCCATGGTTTGTCCCATGGATCTAGACAAACCAAGTATTAATCCACTGGCACAGCACTAACAATATCCATATATCCAAAGAAGTGTCACACACAAAAATATTCATAGAAATAATAGACTGTAAAAGAGAGTAGAAAAATTCAATCCTCAAAAAGTCAGTAAGAAAACAATAGTCAAGACTAAAAAATGTCAAATAGAATGTCAGTCTGAATGAAAACAAATGTACAAAGATATTGAAGAAGACACGAAGCTTTTAAGAATAATACATAAGTCATTTCTTTTAGCCACTGACTCATTTCTCCAGCTCCAACATTTGTGTTTGTAGCAGGAACTGTTATAGATGAGTTTCAATTACTTTCTTGTGAGGCTCAGAAATCCTCATATTTTTATAGGTTTATTAAATATTATTTCAAAAGTAAAAAAAGGTTGAGCTGGGGAGATGGTTTACTGGGTAAAGCACTTACTTTCCACAAAAGCTTGACTATCTGAGTTTGGATCTCCAGAATCCACAGGAAAGCCAGAGGTAATAATGTAGGCATTTGTAATCCCAGAACACCCTACCAGGATATGAAACAGAAGCTTCTCCTGAGCCATCCAGCCTGGTTTCTATAGCATCAAAGAGACCCTCTTACAAACAGCATGGAAAGGCAAGGAGCAACAACTGGATTGTCACCTGACCTCTACGCTTTTTCCATGGCACACACCCACCGGCACCTCCACCCGTGAATGCACATGCACTCCCTCCCAAGTAATACTAATCCAAATGTAAGTGTCCATTCTTACAATGTGTTTCTCAATAGAATTACTGACTAGGTTCAATAATCTCTTGAAAGTTTAATGAATGATCATCCTGCATTTTCTTAGAGCTGACAAGGGTATCAAAGTTTCCAAATATGAACAGGCTGAAGGGCCTGGTCTTGGACTCTTTCCTTCCTGCCAAATGTCTATCTTTGTCTTGTATTTTTTCTAGTACCTTTCCTTTGCAGCACAGCTATTACTTGATAATTGGGTTCCCACAGAACCTGTTTGGATGATTCTAGCTTATTCCTTCATCAGTTTGCCTATTTACAACACCATCATGTTGTAAATGAGATCTCCTCTCTTGGGAACAAAAGATTACATATAATAAGGCAATCACATTTGATAAATAACTTTGGTCTGGATTATTCATCTAACACATTTATTGCTAACCTACTATGTTTCAGGTCCTGGTCAACTATGGAAGACAAACAAGACAGTGTACATTTTTCATGAAGATTATGATGACATCGAACAAAAGAATTTCATGAGCATTCAACTCCATTTTGAGAACACAAAAAGAGATAGGATTCCTGACATCTCTGTCAGTCAAAGCACACTACTAAGCAAAGTTTAATGAAATAAAGCATGACATTTAAATGTCAGTACCTTAGTACATAGGAAATTGCCTAAAAGAGTGGTCAGTTAAGAATTCCTGACAGGGCCGGGCGGTGGTGGCGCATGCCTTCAATCCCAGCACTCGGGAGGCAGAAGCAGGTGGATCTCTGTGAGTTCGAGGCCGGGCTGGACGGATAGCCTTCAAAACAATACAGAGAAACCCTGTCTCGTAAAACCAAAAAAAAAAAAAAAAAAAAAAAAAAAGAATTCCTGACAGAGGGACTGCATCTAAAACTGGATAGGACAGGAAAGAGGAACTTTGGGAACTGTGAAACCTTCCCCCAGCACACATATTTTACATGAACGAGAAGGGGTGATTATGTATAGTTTGCTTTTCTCTGCCAAGCTGTCCTACTCAGTTACTCCCCTAGTTCTGTCCTCCAGCGGTCTGACTACTTTACACTTGCACACACATGAAAAACTTCATTTATAAAGAATTACATTTAGTGTGTGCGCGGGCGCCATTGGGAACGTGTGACCAGAGGGCAGTCTTGAGTCAGTTCTAGCCTTCCACCGTGTCGTTTTTGGGGGATCGTAACTGAGGTCCTCAGGTTTGGAGGCAAGTGCCATCTGAGCCATCTCACTCGTGCCTCAACTTGACAATTTCTTTCTTTTCTTTTTTTCGAGACAGGGTTTCTCTGTGGTTTTGGAGGCTGTCCTGGAGCTAGCTCTTGTAGACCAGGCTGGCCTCGAACTCACAGAGATCCGCCTCTCTCTGCCTCCGAGTGCTGGGATTAAAGGCGTGCACCACCAACGCCCGGATCTTGACAGTTTCATAGTAGTTGGTTTTTTGTTTGTTGTTTTCCTTAGTTTTGGAACTAATTTCCTGAGTCCACAATCAGTACTCTCTGATTTTAGATAATTCTAATTTCTGTGCAAACACAATTCAATCTGATCGAGTAAAAATTTCTCAACCATCTAAAACAGTTTCTCTATGAAAGTTCAGTGGAAATTCCCCTCCCCAAACTGTTCTTTGAATGACTGTGATATAAACCCATTGTTGCATGTTCACGGTGTGCCAGAAACCCTACTTAATAACTCTTTAAGGACTCAACTTTAGGAGCCCTGGTGTGCCGCCACAAGGTAGGTTCCCCGGGAGAAAGGAGCAAGAGGCACAGGAGGCTGACTCCGCGGGAGGACAGCGTCTTCATCGGAAGGGCCACGGGGAGCCTGTCCACGTAGGAACCGGTCCCCTTGGGGGCGAGGGTGGTTCCTCATCCGGCCTAGGGCCCATTCAAGCCCGGAATAATCAACAGGCTTCATAAATATCTAAGGCGAGAATCAACACCGAGTTTCACTACCTCAGCTGGTAGGATTTTGTCTGACAGAAAATTAGAACCCCTGTGCGCCTAGAGTTTCAAACTACTCGAAGTCACGCCTCCTAGGAACCAGAAGCAGTGCTAATAGCTACTGAACGGACATTTGTAAGGGGCGGGGCCTCAGCGAAAACTATAATCCCCAGAATGCAGCGCGGAGCTTCCGGTTTCCGGCAAGAGGGCCAGAGTGAGTGTTTACACCGGCGGCTCTCTGCGGCCGGGTTCCTTCCGCGGGACGGGTGAGGGCGCTGGGCCCCCTGGGCGCGCGGGGCTCTCGTGGGTCTGGAGTAGCTAACTGGTCCCACGGGAGAGGTGGGGTTGGCAACAGTGTCCCTACTCACGACTAGGTATCTGTGACCTTGGGCCAAGTGACTTGAGCTGAATCTTGATTACTGATCTGTGAAACAAGGATGACAATGCCTTTCCCTGGGGGCGGTTGCGAGGATCGAGATCGCTATACTAAAAACCCAATTCCTTCCTCGCTTTAAACCGAAGGTGGACAGTATCTTGAGGTCTGCTGGGTAGAGTCATAGCTTTTTCTTAGCCTTGTCTCTACCGCAAGAGGCTTCTTTAGAAGAAGTAGTGTCTACAACAAGGGCTTGCTTTGCGTTGCAAGGCTCTTTGCACCCTTTGAGGTTTTCGATTTATTTTGTGAAAATTCATATATGCCAGGCTTGGGGACAGTGAAGCTCTAGTGTTGGCTTCCAAGGCTTTCAAGATTTGGGGGTGGGGGGGTGATGGTGAGAAATTGAGAAGTAAATAAGTCTTACAAGGAAAAAGCAGCAAAGAAAATATCTTTTTTAGTCTGGCATCTGGTAATGAAGCTGGCTGACCAGCCAGCTACTTATCCTCAAATCTACTGATTTGTGTTGCTCTTTTGCCTTGAGGGAACAGGGAATGTGTGACCAAGAGAAGAAAAAGAGGGCATGGAAACGATGTGTTTGTGTGGGTCTTGGTAGGAGTTTGCTAAGAGGCCAAAAAGGGAAGAGAACTTACATGCAAAGACAGGAGGTGAGCAGAGGTATATATGGGGACAATTTTGTTATGAAGTAGACTTACCGTTGTTATCAGTGGGGCAGGGCTGGGGCTTGTAGGAGTTAGAATGAATGGGTCTTTAATCCAGGTTGTGGAGTTCATACTAGTTTGAAGAGGTGCTTTGGGGTCAATGAGGGCATTCAAGGCAGTTAAGTCGTTTGTCAGGTCAGTGTTTTAAACATTAGGACATTGGGTGGTGCCATGGATCTCTGACAGGCAGAGACAAGAAAGGCAAGGACTTGTTAAATCAGAAATTGAAGGAGAAAACAAGCAATCAGTGTTTAAAAGGGTATGTTGGGTGATCTTGCTCAAACCTCACAGCATTCCTATCAGAATGGTCTTTTATGTCCACTCTAAGGGTGAGGAAACTGAAGCATGGAGAAATCCTTTGCTGTCCACTCTAGGAGGATAAAGGGAGGATGCTATGTTCTAGTTCTCGTTCCCTAATGTTACACCTTGTGCTTCGAAATTATCTTTCAATTAGCCTGGTTGCAGAAAATGAATAGGATGCTTGTTTGTCCTTTAACCATTGGTGCCTTATTCTTTTACAGGGAGAAAGAGAGAGCGCGAAAGAGAGAGGATGTCTCTCTCAGACTGGCACCTGGCAGTGAAGCTGGCTGACCAGCCACTCGCCCCCAAGTCAATTCTTCAGTTGCCAGAGACAGAAGTGGGAGAATATTCACTAGGGGCTTATAGCATTTCGTTTCTAAAGCAGCTTATTGCTGGCAAGCTCCAGGAATCTGTCCCAGATCCAGAGCTGATTGGTGAGTCTTGCAGCAGGGTTGCCGCTCTGGCCTCTTCCAGGAGAGGGGTTAAAAGAGTAAATTAAGAGCCGGGCGTTGGTGGTGCACGCCTTTAATCCCAGCACTTGGGAGGCAGAGGCAGGCGGATCTCTATGAGTTAGAGACTAGCTTGGTCTACAGAGCGAGTTCCAGGACAGCCTCCAAAACAATACAGAGAAACCCTGTCTCGAAAAGCCCCCCCCCCAAAAGAGTAAATTAAGGGCTTGTGGTTTGTTGTCTCATCATGTTAACACTCCAGAGTTAAGTTTTGCAGGAGCAGAAACACAAAACTTCTGACAAAGCCATTGCTTGCCACCTTAGTCATGTGTTACACTGAACAACGTTGATATGACTCTTAGCTATGATATTGTTGAGGTCTTTCTCTGAGAGAACAAAATTAGGCTGGGCTGAGCAAAGAGTTGCTGATGAGACAAGACTCCTCAATCTATCACTTAAAACTTTAGGGATAATTAGAAGGAATTTTGTTTGTCTTAATGGATGATTGAAGGGAAGGCAGGAAAATAAGAATGAGGTTGGCAAGACATTACTAGTGGAAGAAGGAGGGATTTAAGTATAGTTCAGTCAAATGAGATTATAAATAATTTATGATAGTCAAGGGTTCCAACTGGTGAAAAACATTGCCTATCACAGGTGGATTAGAGTCATCTTTTTTGGTTGCTACATTTTTTCCATTTATTTAGATTAATTACTCTCTACAGTATTGAGCTCTAGAGCTCTTCTGTGGATATATGTATTAAATAAGCGTTTGTACGTGGTAACAGTTGTTTAAAATGTTGGGTTCTGTTTGTTTTTGAGATAGTGTCTCACTTTGTAGCCCTGACTGACCCGGAACTCACCAGGCTGGAGTGAACTCACTGTTTACCTCTACTTCCCTAGTGCTGGGATAACAGGCGTGCAACACTACACCTGGCCGAAAAATGTGTTTCTTGATGGCCCCACAACACACACAGGTGCTCACTATTACATCCCGGGCCTTGTATACGCTAGGAAAACAGTCTGCCATTGAGTTGTACCCAAAGCCTGTTCATATGATTTTTTTTTTCCTTTTTAGTTGTAAAGCAGGATCTTGCTAAATTGCCCAGGCTGGTCTCAAATTTGCTTTAGCATTTCAAGTATCTGGGATTATAGATGTGTGCCACTGCACCTGGGAGAGTATCTTCTTTTGTGTGTATGCGGTACATATATGTGTGTGCAAGGTTATGTACTCATGTTTGTATCTAAAGAGATCAGAGCAGGACATGAGGTGTTCTCTCTTACTCCATTGTATTGCCTTGAGACAAGGTCTCACACTGAACCTGAGGCTTGCAGTTTGGTTGGCTTAGGCTGGATGGTCAGCAGGTTCTTGGTGTCAGCTTGCCTCTGCCCTCAGCTCCTGGGGTTACAGACACACATGCCATGCCTGGCTTTTTGTGTGGGTGCTGGGGATTTGAACTGAGGGCCTCATGCTTGCAGAGCAAGTGCTCTTATCTACGGGGCTGTTTTCCTAGTCCCTGAGAGCTGTCTAAGATTCTCAGGGGACAGAAACTAAATTGCTTTGAGAAACCAAGTATAAATGGGTAGTTTTTTATGTTTCTTGGTTTGTTTTGTTTTGTTTTTTTAGATCTGATCTATTGTGGCCGGAAACTAAAAGATGACCAGACCCTTGACTTCTATGGTATTCAGCCTGGATCCACAGTCCACGTTCTCCGTAAATCTTGGCCTGAGCCTGATCAGAAACCTGGTAAGTGATGGTTTGTCTTTAGTTAGATGAGTAGAGCTTCCTGGTATCTCCAAGGGAAGAGCCTGTGTATTTTTGAGGTACAGTCCTGGGTGCAG